GAAATGAAAATGCCTAGTTCGGCTGATAAGCCGAAGCATTTTGCTTTCCGATGGCAACCTTCACTTTAGGAGGTTTGTTTACAAGGACAACTATTGTAACTATTTGGTATACCCATGAATGGGTGAGTTCCTATTTAGCAGGTTGCAATTTCTTAACCACAAAAGTTTCCAACCCTTCTAACCCTTCCAATAGTTTGTTGTTAGTTAGTACACTCTTTGTTCTTACTATTTGGCCTGGAAGCACAAGAGGATTTTACTTGGTGCCAATTAGGTGATTCACATTGATGCAATTTATTACATACTTATATATGAATTAGTAAAGACACAGTATCCTAGTCTATGCTTCCCTATGATATGTGTAGTCTATACTATTTTTTAATGAAAATTTCCTAGTCAGCTCAAGACTTTGAATTTAAATTTAATAGTAAAAGTATACCTTATTCTGGCTTATGTATGCCATTATATGGGTTGTACGTATACGCAAGATAGGAAGGGTGGAGATCTATTTTTTGTTTGAGATAGATCCAACGGGTTTCAGTTTTGGGTTATCTCTTTTTCAAAACTACATTTTGAGATAGATACATGAGTCACGTGTTGTATTTTTCCATTGTTCTAATGTAAGCGACATGTTGTTAATTAGATGGTTTAAAAATCTATGTGATTTTTCCTAAAGTGTATTTATTGTCCATAGATAGTCCCTAAATTAAGATGCAAAGTAATATATTTCTTTTACTCTTACACGCTTGTTAATTTTGGTCTTGAATTATAATTTTTTAAAAATAATCTAATGATGTGCACATATACAAAATTAGCTATATATGATTTAGATGGTATAGTTGTTTAAATTTTGTTATCACGAAATATGTTAATTTCTATCTAACTAAGCAAGCATGAAAATAGGAGAGGTTGTCCTCTTGCATGAAGGGGAGGGTGCGGGCTAGGGATGAAAATGGGCAAAAAATTATCTCAACCATTTCCATAACCATATTTTTCTCGGAACCGGAATAGGAAAAGGTAAAGCCGGAAATGAAGATGGTACCGGAAATGTTGGAAATACGGAAACGAAACTATACATACGGAATCATATCGGCATCGGTCCAAAACCGATAACAAATATCAGAAACGTCTAGCTATAAAATCTCACATTTAACTTTTCATGGCTATGTAATATGATTATGATGAAATAAATTCAAGGTTATACTATGTATATTACAAATTTTGTTTCTTTTAACCTTATACTCTTGTTAGGGATTTGGTTAAGAAGTTGATTACGAATTGTCTCTAAACTATGGATCAAATAAAAAGTGGATATTTCATATTTAGAAATAAGGTAATTACCATCATAAAATAAAAAAAACAACAATTTGGAAACGGTCGGTGTAAAGTAAAATCGTTTTCATTTCTATTTTCATCGGTAACCATTTCCACATTGCTCGACGAGTAAAAATCAGAAATGAGCGTCGGTCTGTCAGGAATTTCCGTGACCATTTTCAACCCTAGCGCAGGCATAGCGTACTTATGTAGCGTGCTAGCTGATTTTATCTTGTAATCAGAAAGAAAGAATAAAAGCAGAATCAGTCGATCGATAGCCGGCCGATAGCGTATTGTTGATGGTATCAGCCGATAGAGTTAGACCAAATCGGCTATGGACTGGTTAGCCCCGACAGCGCGGGGCATTGAGATGGGTTACCTCTTGCGAAGAACTCGCTGGAACACGAGAAAAGCAAAAAGGGTGGCGATACGCCGAAGTTGTATTGGAGTTGTTGCTGTATTAAAATCCTATGGGGCCCATATTTATACCTCGAGTATAAACTTAGTCTATTATGAACACAACTCAAACCTTTCTAAAGTTAAGATACAAACAAGACCATATACGGCGGTCTTTTGCCAAATCTCTAACAAACAGACTCAATATCCTAATTAATAGATACAATTGCCTTAATCAAGCTCTATCTTTTATTGGCATAATAGTTATCCCAATCTAGGGCCGTGCCGAGCCCAAGTCATGTTGTATCGGCTGTATCGGCCATCGGCTTCATCAAGCTTCGACCAGCTTCACACTCTGTTTCAGCCGATATGGTATCCAGCCGATGTGCAGTCAGACTTCAAGTTCGGTTCGATTCAACACCAAATCCGCTTCGATTTCTTTCCTTATTTTCCGAATCTGATGCCAAATTATGTTGTTAACACTTAGGTATGTTTGTAGGAGTGCCACGTGGCAGGTTACAAGATGTTTAATGTTTAATGAAGTTTTAAGAATATACTCCCTCCGTCCCAAAATATAACAACTTTTAGTCCTTAGGATTTGTCCCAAAATATAACAACTTTTAGCCCTCAGGATTTGTCCCAAAATATAACAACTTCTCCTCCAACATTCTCTTACCTACTAATCACAACTCTCCACCATTCACTTTTCCCACCTACCTCCACTACTCATCCAATCACAACCCTCCACCATTCACTTCTAAAACTTCTTATATTATGGGACGGAGGGAGTAATAGATAACAGATTATATGTTTTAAAAAAATATTGCGTTATGACAAGATCATATATCTAACTTCATTCACATAAATGTAAAGGAAAAAAGTCCGAATTACCATGTTGAACTATTACAAAAGTACGAATTACCCCCTAAAATACAAAATCAGACATTTAACCCCCTAACCTTTTCAAACAGGATAAATTACTCCCTTGGACAGGAAGAAGGTGGTTTTAATCCTATATGGCACCCACTCAGTCAGCAATAATTAATAAAATAAATATTCTAAAATTGGGTGGTCCAACATGTTGCCCTCCTCTTCTTTCTTTCCCATCCTCCCCCATCTCTCTATTCTCCAATCAGCATGGAAAAAGGTGGTGGTGAGTGTCCTCCATAGTTAGTGGAGGAAGGCGGCGACGACAGTAGAGGCGGCAGTGGTGGCTGGCGTTGGAGCCCATCTCCCCATTCTCTCCACACCATTAGCAAGATGCATTGTCGGCGCTAGATCGAGAAGTGGCCGTTGCATTCAAGCTCGTTCATGCCCCACTTCCACTTCCGCTGCCGGGGAGCTCGCGGTGCTGAAATGGGCGTCGTTGAGCTCATTTTTGCCTTTGCTGGGGAGGAGAGGGAGAGGGAGAGATGGATCTGGCGGCGGAGTACGGCGTCAATCCGACGACACAGGATAGAGTCGATCCGAAGGACGCTGCTTGCCCGGCCACTGCGGGGTCGGCCTAGCGCTAAGGCGGAAGGCGATGATGACCACCACGATGATGACCTAGGGGGGGCGTGGCCCACCAGATCAATGAAGAGGAACACTGCCCGCTCGGTCACGATGGTGTCGGCATGGCACTGAGGTGGAGCTGACATGTGGGCCCACTATTTTTTTAAGAAAAAATGGTTGATTGGACTACCTCTTGTACGCCATATAGGACCAAAACCATTACGGATTAAGTTAGGAGGTAATATGCCCAGTTTGCATAGTTTGTAAAATGTATGGTATTCGAGGTTAAGGGGTAAATCAGACTAACATAATAATTCAGGGCGTAATTCATACTTTTTTCCTAGGGTTAATTAGATCCATCCCATTTCAAATAAATCCTTACAAAATTAATTCATATCCGTGACACTGAAATTTTACAAAATTAGAACCATGACATCGTTGTCATGTTTTTCATCTTCCCCATCTGCTGGTGGGACCTACCCATTAGATTCAACCTTTTCTTTCCCTCCCTTATCTTCTTCCTTCCCCATCTCAGCGCCGATGCTAGAGCAAGCTCCTCATGCTCTCTTCCCCATCTCTCTCCACCTCTTCCCCAGTGCTCAGCGGGACGATGCTAGATCTAGGACGAGGGCAGCACAGAGCTTGCCCACGGACGCCACAACAACCCTCATCGTTGATGTTCTCGAGTGCAAGGATGGGGAGCATGCACGGCTTATCATTGCCAAGCGCAAGAGCGGGAGCGAGGGAGGAGCAGCAGCTGCGAACACCACGACACCAGAGAGAGGGATTCCATCATGAGCAAGGAGAAGGGCAACGTCGGCGAAGCACCCACAGCCCCTCGTCGTCCTCATCCACGGCTGGGCACATGAGCACCTCATCTTTGTTGACCTCTTGCGCGTGGGCGCATAGCAGAGCGACACCCTTCGTCGTCGTCATCCACAACCCCGGGACCTCATTGCCACTGTCCTAGAGCGCACGCTTGGGGAGGACGTGCAGCCCTTCTTCACCGAGCACGAGCACTCCTTGCAAAGTAGAGCGGGCGCTGTGATGGTGATGGTGGGTACGCGGCCATCGCAGCGAGGGTGGAGCCACCCAGCATACGCTGGGTATGCGGCTGACGTGGCGGAGGACTAGGCGCATTGGTGGCGTCGCCAAGCACGCAGCGGACATGCATGCGGTCAGCGCAATGAGGGCGCAAGTAGGCGAGCACGGCGTCATCGTCACGGGCTCAGCCACCGCCATCACTCACAACGCAAGATGGCAAGAAAGAAGGAAGAAGACGAGGGAAGGAGATGGATTGGAAATGTGACGGCGGTGGCACGGTTCTAATTTTGTAAAATTTCAATAGCACAGTTATGAATAGACGAATTGTAATGACATTTGTCTGAAATGACTATTTGCAGTGGCAATGATCGAATGAACCCTTTTTAGTAAATGTACATGGCCAAGCAGATCAATCTTTTGATCAATATGACTATGTTTACTCATCAATTTGCTAACAACAATACATGAATACATGAGTATGTTACTCTCACGGGACACGGGATAGGATGGAAAAGATGAACTAGCAACACAAATACCCATCAGTTTCGAACATTAAACAAATCGAAACCAGCAATTACAAAAGGAGATCGACGTGCTACAACTAGCAGCTACAGCCTACACTAGTGACTAACTAGCAAAATAGAACTCTTGCCACGCCTAAGTTGGTGAACCCTAGCGCGCGCGCGTCGATCTGATCTCACGGCGTCGACGGTAGTCGCTGGTGGAGGCAACGCCGCTACGCATCCATAAGCTGCTCAATGCGACAGGGGACGACGCCACAGCTTGCCGAGGAACGCGTCGCTCTTGCGCAGCTCCCTCCAGCGTCGCTTCACGGCACGCGAGCTGCGACCGTCGTCGAGGCGCAGGCAGAGGAGGGCGAGCTCGGCGTCGTCGTCGGCGGTGAAAGGGCGGTGGAAGACGTCGCGGGCGAGGTGGTCCCTCCACCTGTCGCGGCACTGCGCGGGCGAGCGGCGGCTGCTGTGGCGCGGCATCTGCGCCGCCACGCGGCGCCAGTGGCGGGAGCCGTGCTCCATGGCGAGGCGCTCCAGGACGGCGTCCAACTCGGGCGTCCACGCTGGCGGGAGCCTGATGCGGACGACGCACCTCCCGAGCGGCGGCGACGTCGCAGATGAAGAAGCGAAGACGGAGGCGGCAGAGGAGGAGGAGGAGAGCTCCATGTCCATGGCGTGCGGCGTCAATCGAATCGTGGGTATGGATGAATGAAATGAACCGAGGACACGATGCATGTTGCTCCTTATAGCGGCACACCTGCAGACTCATTCTCCGACTCGGATTGGTACTCCTCCTTCCTTTCCTTTTTCAGAAAGAATCACATTATGCACTGCGAGTCCGATTAGGATTCAGTTTTTCATATTTTTGCTTTGCTTCGCCGATTGATAATATTTGAGAAATGACTCCTTACTTTTCTTTCAGATAATGTTTAGGCACTAATTTTGTGGCCCGGTCGCTGAGTTTTTCTCGATCCCAGTTTTTTTTTTATTTTTTAGAGAAGGGTATTTTTCATCCAACCGAATGTATGCTCTGCTACAGTAAAAATGGCGAGGGCATGCTTATGACTAAGTAGACTGAGTAAAGATGAACCCGGTGTGAGGCTACTATTCGCAATAAAGTTCAACTAGCCTACTTATCGAAGCAATTCTTTAGCTGATAATGAATTAGACATTAAAATTGCGCTCACGCTGATTTTGAGGAGCACACTACTATGTTGATAAAGGACACATGTTTCAAGGCATAAGAGAAGAAAACCTTGGTGGTTACGGTCGGCTTCACCTATTAGAGTGACATTTATATATAATTTTAATGGTTTTATTTCATGAATTGGTAGGAGCAATACTTTGTCGGCTCCCAAACCTAAAGATTCGGAAACCGATATGTTTAACTGTATCAAGCCCTGGATCAGTAGATTGATACAGCTTCAACAATCTGGATCTTCATTGCGTACATTTGAGCAAGGCTCCAAAGGATATGTTATTACATAAAATAATAGGGGAATTTACAAGATTGTGGCTAACTATTACAGCAGAAGCTATAGAATAACTCAACTCTAATATTTTGCTATAGACTTAAACCATCTAACTAATCTATATTTGAGAACTAGGTTGAAATAAGACTAACTTATATGATTGAACTCCTGGCTTCGGCAAGAACTTCAATTTAACTCTGGAAAAAGGGGGCTTGAAGCAAGGGTGAGTACAACGTACTCAGCAAGCTATTATATTCAATAATGAATGTATGAAAAGGTAATATTTGAGTAGGATTACGATTACTTGCAGAAGGCAGAGAATATAGAAATAGAAAGCCTGATATTTTAAATGCAGCAGCATTTAGTAAAATCTTGAATTAGGTTTCTAACCAAAGTACCATATGAGTCCCGATACTCAATTCCGTGAGCACGGCTATTCGAATAGATTCATGTTTATTTTATTGCAGTAAATGTACGTTTTACCCGCAATCCATGACATGCCAATATTCATTAGCTTAGTCATGGCAAAGCTTTTCGGTTACTAACATCAGTGGCACCTGTTCCATGAACTCTCATCCTCATGCGCTCTGAACGTAACGTTATCAGCAGCGAGAGGAGTTCTGGCGTTCCCGAGGTTTTTAGAGAGAGAACTGGTTGAGAGACCCCCGTCATCTCAACCAGGTTTTCACAATATACACACACTTGAGCTCAACAAATTATTTACCTGCGCCTCGGTAAATGTTATATTTGCCCTTCGCGGCATTAGTTTGCATCCTGCGCGAGGACTTAAATAAGAACCACTGTACAGAGGTACCACCTTTGCTAGACAACCTACTTTGCAAGGTCTGTCCCCATTCTAGAATTGTGGTCGTACTCGTTCATTTGACATAAGTACTTGGTAATAACTATATCGACTGAGACAGTACTAGCCACCCGGAAATCAACCAATTCCTACGTACTGTCCCAATCTAAGTTCATTATATTTTTACGCAGTCTAATTAGGCAGGGCTAAGCAAAGCTAGCATATCTGGTTTGCTATGTTCAGGTTATGCATTCAAAATCATGAATGACTAATGCATAGAATAGAAATATAAGAATATAGGATAATTATGCTCAAAGAGGAAGAATAATAACTTGCCTTGCTCCAACGCAAATAAATCCAAAGTAGACAACCTGATTATCCGATCCTTGAAATACCACAGGTTGCCATCCAAAATAAAATAAGCTCTACTGAAGAAGAGGAAGAGCCAATTTCAATAAAAGCCATAAAATAACAAGAAAGCGATAAACGGCTAAGAGGGCTAGGGTTTAGGGTATAATCTATCTCCTTTAAAGGGTATAGGGATTATTGGGTTAATATTTTATGTGGAGGTTCTAGAGGGTTGGAGGTTGAGGTGGAGAGGGGATCAAGCAACTCATGTCATTTATATTTCATGTGTGGGTCTTGGTTGCTTAGAGAGTAAGGGATATAACTGGTTAAGTGAGTATGTGGCTAGTATTGGCTGGTGGTAGGTTTGGGTAGTATAATACCTAGGGTTTGGTTATATTTAAGCCGATTGTGGAGTAGGGCAACATATCGGCTAGGTTCTATATTTTATGTATAGGTTCTAGAAGATTAGGTAGCTAATAGTATGGTGGATAGGTGGATATGGAATTTAGATGGTGGTTGGAATTTAATTAGGAAGGCATCAGCTGGGTTTGGTTGTTTGCTAGTCGCTGCTAGAGTTGGACAGTATAACGACTAGAATTGGTATCTTCTCTAGCCGGTGTCAACAGACAGCATAACGGCTAGAGGAATAGGAGGTTTGTGTGGGTTTAGTGGGGCGGAAGTGTTACTCCGACAACCGTGAGTGGCGGCGGAGCGGCTAGGATCACACAGAGCCCAAAATCTAACTGTGCGGCGTGCTGTGGAGGTCGAGGGAATAGTGAAGCTCCGACCACTATACGCATCGAGGCGTGGGGTGCCAGGAGCAGCACTTCGACCTTGGGTTTAGGTTTTGCTGGGCTTTACAACCAACGGTCCGACGTCGGGGATAGTAAACCGCGAGCGTCCCCATGGAAGGCGTAAAGTTCCAACCGGCGGCTTTTTAGTGGCTAAAGGGTATTTTGGAAATAAACGGAAATATTCGAAAAGCAAATATAAGTTCAAACTATATTTGAATAAATTCAAATAAAATTATAAAATAGCAAATTTGGGGTCAAAAGATGGGGTTTGAATTTAGATAAATTTAGGTCCAAGTTTCACTGAAATCGGATCTACGGTTTAGAAGATATGGGCTTCTAAAGATTGGAATTTGAATTAAATCTAGAAAAGACGAAAATGTACTGTTCATGGGCCCACCTGTCAGCCTTTCTTTTTCTTTTTCTTTTCCTTCTTCTTCCTTCGTTTCTTCCTCTTCTGTTCCTGTTTTTGCCGAACAGGTAGAGAGGAGAGGGAGGAGGGGCGCTGGGGCTCTGGTGGCCGGAGATCAGCGACGTCGGCGGCAACATGTGTTCCCGGACGACGCGCATCTGGGGAGGGTGGTTTCCGGCAGAGGGAGATGAGGAGTTGGCCGGAACGGCGGCGGCAAGAGCTTGCTCCGGTCGATAAAAGAAGTGGCTATAGTGGCTTATAGGATGGCTAAGGGAGAGGGGAAACTAGAAAAATGGGTTCATCTCGTCGAGGCAAGCCCGGTGGCGCGAGGGTTTGGTCTGTAATGCACCGGTGAGGGAGATCGAGTGGTGGCGGCAATGGTCGGACAGGGCCAGGAGAGAGAGAACTCGAGGAGCTCGTCTATGGGGAAGGAAACGGGGTCTCTCTGGCTATATATATAGGCGAGGAAAGGCGGTGGTTAGAGGCGGTTTCGGAGGAGGAGACGAAGGGGATTACGGCAACGGCGACGTGAGGAAGAAAATGACGGCGCCGGCCCTTCATCCGATTGGTCGATCATGTCGGTTTGGCTTGGCGTATACGGTTGCTGACGTCGGGCGGCGTGAGATGGCGCTGACGTCGGGCGGCAGTGGAGGAGAAGGGATGGAACACGGTGACGACGTGTCAGCTCGGCAGTCTGCAGCGGCGGCGGCGGCGCGTACACGCGCGCCACGCACGCGGCCATGGTGCTCGGTGGTGGCGGCGCCCACAGGGAGAGAGGAGGCGGCTCAGCTAACTGGGCCGGCCTGGGCCGAGTAAGAAAGGAGAATAATTCGGCCCAAAAACAAAAGGAGGGTTTGAATAAATTGGATTTAGAGAAGTATTTGTGTTTGAAGGGAATTTAGATAGCTAGGTCTCGGAAAGGATTTGAATAGTTTGAATTTGAAGGAAAAATTGAGTGAGAGAGTTTAGAAGGAAATTATATTTGAATATAATTTCCAAAAGAAATATTTCTCTAGTTGGTTCAAATGCAATACTTTGGAGAGGGAGTTTATTTAATGCACTCGAATAGAAATTCAAAATATTCAATACCATAAATAATATGGCTCTAGATTTGAATATTTTTGAGTATGTGGAGGGAATATGGAGGGAGTAGAGTAAATAAAATTTTAGCCCAAAATATGTGGTATGAAATTTAGAGAATTAGATATGGGCTAAATGAGGTTTTGGATTTTGGGGTGGAGGGATAAAGTCTATTTTCTCAGCACAAGAGCAATTATTCACAATATTTGTAATAATACTATTCTTGTGCCGAAGAGGGAATCAAGCCACAGGGATTAAATTGGTGGCCAGATCAAAAGGAGGACTTGAATATTTGGCGATAAATAAGAATATGTTTGAAATCAAAGGATGGGTCGTCAATTAATTCCAATAAGATTGGAATTGCTTCGATTTAGGTTCAAAGGTAGTGTTGGAGGATTTCTTGGACCACAATTCATAAAAGTAAAAATGATTTTTAAACTAAATTTGAATAAAAGAAATTTTGGTCGAAAGAAGGTTTAAGATGCAAAATCAAATTAAAGAGAATACCTCAATTTAACAAGACCAATTTTTAGAATAAAAACCACAAAGATTTTAAATACCAAAAGGGGATTTTATGCATGTTAGTTTTAGGAGGTTCCTCTAATTGTAATTTCTCAGGTTTAGAAAGTTATTAAAAATATAAGAATCAGCATGATGCATATTTAGAAAATAGCAAATTTTCAGTATGTTACATACTTCAAAATATTTATACATATATTTAAACACAAGTGAGACATGAACAATTTGGTATGAAGTAGAGGTGATATTTTTGTTGTATTAATGACATACTAAGTTTGCTTTCTTGTATGGATGTAATTCCATCTATTAAAAAGGCACATAACTTATAATACAACGAAAATAAATAGTAAATAGTGGTGATATGCGAGTTTACATATATCCGGGACAATGTTATTTCTGTTTGAATATGAAAGATACTATTGTCATTTGGTATATCAAAATTTATGGTCTAGATATTTATTTTTTATATAATTATAAGGCGATCTATACTGTCCTTATAATTAATTAATATAGCGAGATAGGATTTCTTTAGCATTATTTTTATAAATAATTTAGCATTATTTTTATAAATAATAAATAAGCTGTTCTTATAATTAATATGGTGAAGTATGACTTTTTTTAACAATCTTTTATAAATAAGTTGGCTGCGTATCTTCGCAGGCTTCTTTCCTATTTTTTGAGAAGACCATATTTGTTCATTAAAAACATTGGAAATGATCCTGCAGGGATCTACTACAGTTACACTCGACTTTACACATGCTGATTATTTTGAATTTATATCAAACGAACAGATCATACAATTACACAAGGTAATGTATCGACACCATTGTATTTGAAGAGTCACCTATAATGAGACTATTTTCTAGGTCCGTCCTGATCAGTTCGATCTACTGTTGCAAGAATATATAAACTATCCATGCAAATATTTCGATCCATAAGTACGTTGTACATTAATTTGGTAACAGACATGTACGATCAAAAGACCGCATTTGTTCATTGAAAAACATTGGAAATGATCCTGCAGGGATCGATCTACTACAATTACATATGCTATTTCGAATATCAAATGAACAAATTCAACAATTACACAAGAGAAGTAGTGCAGCTAGCTTTACAAATTACAATCTGATGAACTAGCAAAGAATTCTTGTCATAATGGACCGTCAGTGAACTGGCCCTAGCTAGCTACGGCGCCATCCAAAAGCTTAATTTGGCCGCTGGCCGCATCAAAGGACGGCGTCCACCACCGTGGCCGGAGACAGCATCGATGACCGGGGGTGCCACAACTTCCTGAGGAGCTCATCGCTCGTGCCGATCTCCATCCACCGGCGCTTCACGGAGCGCGAGCTGCGGCCGTGCACCGCCCTGCTGATGTCCTTCCATCGGTCGCCGCCGCCGCCGGGGCGCAGGACGAGGCGGGTGAGCTCGTCGTCGTCGGCCGCGGTGAAGGGGCGGTGGAACACGTCGCGGGCGAGGTGGTCCTCCACCTGTCGCGGCACTGCGCTGGCGAGCGCTTGCGCGGCATCTGCGCCGCCACGCGGCGCCAGTGGCGGGAGCCGTTCTCCACGGCGAGGCGCTCCAGGGCGGCGTCCTCCTCGGGCGTCCACGCCGGCCGGAGCCTGATGCGCAGGACGACGCAGCACCTCCCGCTCGGCGGCGCGGACGACGGAGTGACGGCGGAAGCACATTGATCATCGGCGACGGCATTGGAGGAGGAGGAGGGCTCCATCATGGCCATGTCGTGCGACGTTGTCGATCGTGTCTGTGGAACTACGGGTGGATGAACGAATTGAAGAACCAGTCACTCGCTGCGCCTTGCTACTTATGGACGCACTACTCGATCATGCTCCGATTCAGATTACTAGTTCTCGTTCGCTTCCTTTCCATTTTTCGGAAAGAATAAACACGTCTATTGATCCTGGTTCTGATCCGTTTCGGATTACACTAGCACGTACGTACTGCGAGTCCGATTAGGTTTCGGTTAGGTTTGGATTGTTCATAGTACTTCTTAATTCGCTGATTGATTTTCGTGTGGCTTAGAGCAAGGATAATAATAGATTTCAGTTCCTACTATTAGCCAATCTTAAACCCAGTACAAATAATAGATTAGCTATAAGGTTGGCTATAATTTTCTTCTCATCTCTCTATCTCTCACTTATACATTAATTGTATTTGTCTTGGAGCTTGTGTTAAGTTAGCTCTTGCATGAGAGCCAACACCCTTAACTTTTTGTTACATCTCTCTTCCACATAAGTTTATAATAGGCTTATAGCACACTGTTATACTTGATCTTATACGTTGGTTTTGGGCCTGGACGTGTGCAATAGAAGCGCAACTGACTTGACTAGCTAGGAAAGTTAAGGCCCATTAATGGTTTGTTGAGCCTGGACGTGGGAAATTATTTTGGGACCGGATGTGTTTTCTTTTTTTTTTAAGAAAGAAAATCGGAGGGTGAATATTGAATTTCATTTTATTTTATGATCTCAACTTAGAAAGTTTCAACCGAATTTGAATATTTTGATAAAAAAAATTTATAAAACTAATAAAGAAACATTGGATATTTTTGCAGAATAAGCAACCAACAGCTTGTGCAAATAGCAAAAGAGAGGGACCTACATGTACTTCATCCGTCCCATTCTAAGTTTCCATATCCAACTTTGATCGTCCGTTTTATTTGAATTTTTTTATGATTAGTATTATTATTAGATGATAAAACATAAATAATACTTTATGCGTGGCTTCTAGCTTTTTATTTTTTTAAAAAAATTTTCAAATAAGATGGACAATTAAAGTTGTACATGGAAACTCATGACTGCACTTAAAATATGATGGAGGAAGTACAAGCTAAGATAAATGGGCAAGGGAGATTCAGACACCCGGACTGGTCCAAAGTTTAAAAAAGAAAGGCCTAAATTTTTCTTTTTACAAAAATACTCCCTCATTCACAAATTGATCATCATATAATAAAATCCAAAATTTCTCAAATTGATCACCATATAACTATATGGACATGGATTTCTCATCAGAATATAATTAATTCAGTTTGGGTGAGAATGTGTGCATGCTAAGGTGTATAATTGGCATGAGGGTTTTAATCGATGAATGCATTGTGGGAGAATGTGTGCATGGTGTCTTGATTGATGTGATTTAATTGTCCTTGGTATTGGTGTATAAACTTATATGATAATCAATTTGGGAAGAAGAGAATACTACATAACAGTATACCGTTTTAATGGACGAACTGACGTCATGATAATGTCAGTATGATAAGTACCTACTGGATCTAGTACCTACAGAATATCATGTATGAATATCATGTATGATATTCCAAAGGTATCAGATCCGATACCTATGCTACTGATGTCAACAATTCCATTGCAAAAATATACCTTTATGTAAAAGATCTTTTTCCCTTGGATGGATCCGCGAGTTCCAGTGATTTAATTTGGATCAAAACAAATTGCCCTGGTCCGTACAGATGATGTTCATCCTGGTCTAAGGATGGCAACAACTATTACTCTCTCCGGTAATAAGTATATGATATTTGCTATATTTATTTTTATGGTCTTAGAAATACAACTCTGACCATAAGTTTATATATTATAAGGTTAGGATAAGTTTAATAATAAATTTACGGTTTTATGTAAAGTACTTTTTATGACACATCTAAACTTACATTTTTTATGTTTTTAAAATGTGCATTTTAGAAGTTACTAATTATCAAAATTATAAAGTTTATCAAATATTATTCTAGATGCCAAATATATTTATGACTGAAGGGAGTAGAAGTATTTTCCTTTGCGTGTCCCATGTATATTTTTCCTCTCTACTCTGATTGATCTACGCCATCCATGGACATGTTCCCATGTTAATGTAACTAGAAAGGAAGTCCGCACAGATGCGCGGGTATTTTATTTAATTGTTTGTAAAAATAATGCTAAGAGAATTAAGTCATGTCACACCATATACATATAAGAAATTATAGATTTTTCCTCATAATAACAAAAATTTATGTTGTGAAATGGACCATAGATTTTAATATAAATGATAAGAATGTCTCTTAGATTCAAACAAAAATCACTTTTGTACAAGTTACATGTAAACTCTCCTATTATCACCATTACTTATTATCTTATTCTTAAAAGATAGATATGTTTTTAAAAAATAGGTCTTCATCTGTACCACTAAAATAAGTCTAATACAACATTTATACGTAAAACATCCGTTTCCACTTTATACCTAAATGTATATGTCAACATTTATTTCTAAATCTACGAATAAATATTCTTAAAAATACAACTTCTATTGGTTATTAGGATAAACCGTTAAAAAATAGACATGAATGCCCCCTCTAATGGGTGGAACCATCAAGATTTTATTTATCTATTTCCTTCAAGCATGGGTAGACATAGTCGTGTCTCTCACGGCTAGTATGGAGCACGACTTTAATTAATCCTAGTTCACTATCGGGACCCTCAAAGACGATTACATTAGTAAGTAGAAAGATAAGCACTATTATCAATGGTGGCCTCTACTGGGCCTGCCTCACCCTAACCATATGTGTGCCCCTGCTATACTTGTGGTAGCATAGCAAGCTCTGTTATCCATGCTCGGTGCCCTTCAAGGAAACAAAGAGAAGATGGATACGATGAAAATAGTTCTTCACTTCTTCCCATAAATAGTTTCATTATGTTTTGCATAGATACGGTTTTGTTTATGGTGTTAACCAGTACTGCTTAATCTTTAGAAATGAGTGAGGTTGATTACTGAAAATATATATAGCTAAATAAACATGTGACCATGACAATTTTCATAGTATCATCTCATTGTTTATATTTTGAGAAAGATCTATATTTTAGCATCTGGTTTGTTTTCGTCATCTATTGTTTATAATTGCATGAGATACCTTTACTAATTCAAAAAATGTATTTATTTTCCAAAATTATTTATAACAACTAATTTGTTGAAGTGCACTTATACTTATAGTTACGTCAATGGGGTATATAGCATACATTCATCAATTATCACTTATGAACGATATATTATAATTCCTTGTCATAATGGACCGTCAGTGAACTGGCCCTAGCTAGCAACGGCGCCATCCAAAAGCTTGATTTGGCCGCATCAGACGACGGCGTCCACCACCGTGGCCGGAGACAGCATCGATGACCGGGGGTGCCAACTTCCTGAGGAGCTCATCGCTCGTGCCGATCTCCATCCACCGGCGCTTCACGGAGCGCGAGCTGCGGCCGTGCACCGCTCTGCTGATGTCCTTCCATCGGTCGCCACCTCCGCCGGGGCGCAGGACGAGGCGGGTGAGCTCGTCGTCGTCGGCCGCGGTGTAGGGGCGGTGGAACACGTCGCGGGCGAGGTGGTCCCTCCACCTGTCGCGGCACTGCACGGGCGAGCGCTTGCGCGGCATCTGCGCCGCCACGCGGCGCCAGTGGCGGGAGCCGTTCTCCACGGCGAGGCGCTCCAGGGCGGCGTCCTCCTCGGGCGTCCACGCCGCCGGGAGCTTGATGCGCAGGACGACGCAGCACCTCCCGCTCGGCGGCGCGGACGACGGAGTGACGGCGGAAGCGGTGGAGGAGGAGGAGGAGGAGGAGGGCTCCATCATGGCCATGTCGTGACTCGTGCGACGTCGATCGTATCTGCTGAAGTATGGGTAGATGAACGAATTGAAGAACCAGTCACTCGCTGCGCCTTGCTACTTATGGACGCACTACTCGATCATGCTCCGATTCGGATTACTAGTCCTCGATCGTTCGCTTCCTTTCCATTTTTTCAGAAAGAATAAACACCGTCTATTGATCGTGGTTCTGATCCGTTTCGGATTACACTGGCACGCACTGCGAGTCCGATTAGGTTTCGGTTCGGTTTGCATTGTTCATAGTAGTTTTGCTTAATTCGCTGATTTGATTTTCGTGTGGCTTACGTTGGTTTTGGGCCGGCCTGGGCGTGTGCAATGGGGGAATAAGATCACTTTGACTCCCTCAACTGACCACCGAATCTAAATCGTATCCCTCAACCGTAATATCAGAAATCTTGACCCCCGAACTACCAAAACCGGTACAATTTAACTCTCTTGTTGGTTTTGGAGGGCTGTTTCGCTGACGTGGCGCACACGTGGCAGTGTTGAATTGGTTTTCGTCCCACATGGCATTGACGTGGCGCTTATGTGATTAAAATTAAATAATATATGCAGGCCCATTTGTCATTAAAATTAAAATAATATATGTGATTAAAATTAAATAATATAGCGCTCCTCCTCCGCTCGGCCGTCGCCGCGACGCCGCCGTCCGCTGCCCGCCCCCGTGCGCCGCCTCCACTCGGCCGTCGCCGCGACGCCGCCGTCCGCCGCCGCCGTTGACCCCGTGAGAGAGAGAGGAAGAGTGAGAGATAGAGAAGTGAGAGAGAGAAGTGAGAGTTGTGTATGACAGGTGGGTCCCACAATTTTTTTTATAAATAGAATGCTGACTGGACTGCCACATGTACGTCACGTAGACCAAAACCACCGCGGATCGAGTCGATGGGTTAATTCGTCCGGTATTCATAATTGGGGGTGAAAAATGTCCGGTTTTGTGGTTCGGGGGGGAGGGGGTAATTCGGACGACCGCGATAGTTCGGGGGTGTAATTCGTACTTTTTCCTAAAAGAAAAGGGGGGCTGACTCTTTTGTAGCAAAAGATATTTTCCTTTGATGGATCTACGAGTTCTAGTAATTTAATTTTGTCACGCCCCGAACTAGTACCGACCGGAACTAGCCCGTGACGCTCCAAATTAACCTGTTAATCGATACCAGTCCCAGGAAACAGTGCTGGTATCTCAGGAAGACGGATTATCACAGCAACAGAGGTCTCTTTATTATAGAGTAGAGGTACAGTCATGTTGGGCTGCGGACAGATCCCGAGCTCACAACTGCATTACAAAAGGAAAGCGGAAGCCAGGACTTGGACCAAACAACACAGACGCGACTTGGGAACTAGGCCGAAACCCTAAAACTCATCGTAGCCGGCTTGCTCCTGGAAGAACTCCCCATCGGCGGGATCCGCTTCGTCTTCTTCAGCAACTGGGGGGGATTATTTATATAGAGCAAGGGTGAGCACGGGAGTACTCAGCAAGCCATGGGAAATAAGTGTTTAATGCAGGCTTCAAGGAAAGGCTGTTGTTTTTGCAATTGATTTTATTTGAACTCTTTTCTGAGAACAACTAAGTGAGTGCTTCTCAAACGACACGGATGAGACAGTGCGTCTCGTCCGGTCGGAGTATATGCAATGTATCAGTCTTTAGAAATGATCAAGACTGGCACCCGGCCAACAACTTTCAAACGGCCACCCGGGCCTAGCTGATCCCATCAGCTGCGGGTTTTCCAAACATCGATCCCCTTTTCACAACAGCAATTTCACAAGGCAGTAGTCAAACGAAACTACGCTAGGAATCACCTCACATCCGCCCATGACCGTGGGCACGACTGTTCGAACAGTTTGTTAACCTCTGCAGAGGGGGTACACTTTACCCACACGACATTACTAACCCGGATCACCCAGCCCGTGGAGATCAGCCACGTCGGGAGACCTCCAAGCTTTCATGACAAGGCATTTCCAAAGCCGACACAGGTTTACCATATGCCGACGAGAGGGGTCTCAGACCAACGACAGGTTAGGTCCCAGACCATACTGTGCCAGGAAGCCCAGGGGTCCTCCCCGACACCACCCCGGCGAATCCACATGTCTCTCGGCATCAAGGCTCCCCTGATAAGCTAGTTACTCAGCCAGGGGTGTCCCATTCCACCCATGTTGTCGTACTTGTCTTATGTTCGGATGAAATTCCAAGGAAACAGTCCTTAAGCGCGAGAACGGAAAACCGTACACCCGGTACGTTCTCCGGTCCGCGGTTTTGGAAATCCATTTAGTTCGCAAGCACCGACCCAGGTGTCGGGTTTTCCAAGTCTTTTGTAAAACCCAAGTTTTACCCAAGAAGTTACTCAGATTTTAAGTTTGAAGGCGACCGTCGGTACTCGCACAGAGTGCACGATTTCCGAGGCGCAACTGGATGGTTACAAGGGAACATGGTATAACAATTAACAAAGGAAGGATCAAATGCAACAAGCTAGGTAGGTCCGCCAATCTGCCTTGCAGACGGGACAAACAGATTAGGTGCGATCCTATCAATGCATAATAATTTTTCAAGCAACATAATTAAATTCAAATATAGGCTCAAGATGTTCAAAGATGGCTTGCCTTGCTCGAGATCTGGAGCTTGATCCTCGAAAACCTCGCACTGCGGGTCTTCGGGCTCCGAAACTACACGCGAAACGGGACAACTCAACAAATGGCGAAAATAAAGCCCTATTAATGACCTCTAAGCGTGCCATTAGATAGATCTCGAGATTTGAGGAATTTTGGAAGTTGAACGGAGTCAAACGGATTTACGGTTGGGAAGATATTGAATTTCTAAGATTATTGGATTTTTGGTCTAAAGGAAAAGGATTTAATTAAATCCTTTTTGAAAAAGAAAAGAAAAGAAAAGAAAGGAGGGAGGGAAAATAGACTTTTCCTCGGGCGGCTAGGGCGTGGCCCGAGAGAAATGGAGCGGTCCGGCCGAGCTAAATGGGCCGGCCGGCCCAAGGCGGCCCAAGGCGCACGCGCGCGGGAGGGGAGGAGAGAGAGAGAGCCGGTGGACCGGGCTCACCACGCTTGTCGGTGACACGGTTCACCGTGCGGAGCGAGCACGCGGCGCACGCGCGCGGGCGGGGGAGGGATGCGGTGCACGCGCGTGGTTCGCGGTGGACGCGGATGCGGCGGGCCCACGCGCAGCCTCACGGCTCACCGCGGACCATGCGCACGGGGGGGAAACGGAGGGAGCGGCTGGCCGGGTCAGCCGATCCGGTCGTGCCGAGGTGGCTCCGACGTGGCGCCTACGTGGCTGCCACGCGGGCCGGCTGGAGGAAGACGAAGGCGCCGGCCGCGAATGGACGGCGGGCGGCGGCGGTTTCTCCGGGACGCCTTGCGACGATGAGGGGCGACGGGGCGTACACCGGGATGACGAGGGAGAATGAGAGGGAGCGAGCCAACGGCTTGGATTCGCCGGAGGGAGTCCGTCGGCGGCGGATTGCGGCGGCGGCAACCGGCAGAGAGAAAAGGGGGAAACGGCGACGAGGTCACGAGGGGCCAATTCCCGGCGGTGAGAGCATCCACGCGGCTACGGGAATCCGTTGCTAGCGTCGGATTGGGCGGAGCTACGCCGAGCAAGGCCGGCGACGAGCGGGTGCTACGGAGCTCGGGCGGCGACGGCGGCGAGCACATGGCGAGCGGCGGCAACGGTCGGGGCTGCGCCGGCTAGCTACAGGGAGGCTACTCGTGCTACTACCCGAGTCTAGGGGGAGGGGATGGAGCGAGGAGGGAGAACGGAGGGAGGCACTACCGAGATGAGGTGGGGCGCTGTGACGAGAGGCCGATGGCGCGGGAGTAATCTCTCCGGCCTCGGGCCGGGGAAGAGGAAGGAGAGGGCGCGCCCGGAGTTCCCTTCCGCGTCCTCGCTCGTGCCGGCTCCTCCGACACGCGCAACGACGAACGGCGACGGCGAAACAGAGGGGCGGCAACAATGGAGTGGAGGCGATGGAAGGAGAAGAGAGGGAGGGCGCCTGGGCTTTAAGGGCGGCAATGTCGGTTTGGAAACCGACTTTGGGCGGTCAAGGCGCGAGCTGGCGCTCCGGCTAGCGGCCAAATCGGCGACAGGGCGGAGGGAGGATGACGCCGGCGGGAGGAAAAAGGGGAAAAGGAGTGAGAAAAAGGGGGCTCGCCCCTTGCTTCTTTGGGAAAAGGAGGAGGGGAGCAGGGGCGACGCGGCAGAGGGAGGAGGGGCGCTGCCTCCGTCCCTTGGCGGCTTGCGCGCGGAGTGGCGGGGCCGAGGCGATGACGACGGCGATGACGGCGGGCCGGTTTGGAGCGGAGCGGCGACACGGGCGACAGGCGTGGGCAGGCGCGGCAGAGGGTGACGGCGGCGGCGACCAGGCGGTCGGCCATCACGGCACGCGCGCGCGGGTTGCAACGGGAGGCGCGGCGGTTTGAGCGGCACGGCTCGGGCACGCGCGCTGGCTTGCGGGGCCGAGTGGCTGCGCGGCTGTAGGCGCGGTAGGGCAGCGGGGCCGGGCGGCGCAGACGGCGCAGGCGCGACGCGGGTGACGACCACGCGGGCGCGCGCGCGAACGACGCGCGGGGAGCGGCAGCGAAGGAGCGGAGAGGAGGGCTCGGCTCGGCGCGGCTCACGCGCTCGCGCATGCGGCGCGCGGGCAGAGCGGGGGGGAAGAGAGGGAGAGAGAGAGAGGTAGCCGGGGAGGGAGGGGGAGATGGGCCGAGAGAGATTCGGCCCATCGACCCTGGGGGAGGCAAAATAGACTTTTGCAGAGGAATTTGATTTGGAAGGATTTGGATTCGGGATTGAACTCGACGATAGATAAGGGATTTGAGATCTTGAGATGGCACGGACACTAGACAACAAGCGAAGAAACAAATTTCGCAATTAGGGTTTTTAAGGGATAATTTTCCCGCTAGGCGCCACGACGGAACAGGCGCTACAAATTTGGAGCAAAAAAATTGCCGTGGTCCATAATCGGTAGTGTATT